GACCCGGCCCAGCTCCCGGAGTAGGTAGCGCTGCGCCGGCCTCCGGATCGGCGCCGCCCGCTACTCCCCCAACCTCCGGGGCTACTACGGGGCCAGGCCCCACCCCGACCCCACCGCCCGCTGTCACCTCCGCGCCCCCTGGGGCGCCCCCGCCCGCTCCTCCGAGCAGTGGGGTCCCCACCACTCCTCCTCAGGCCGGTGGGCCGCCGCCTCCACCCCCGGGGGTCCCGGGCCCAGGGCCCAAGCAGGGCCCAGGACCTGGCGGCCCCAAAGGCGGCAAAATGCCAGGCGGGCCGAAGCCCGGCGGTGGTCCAGGCCTAAGCGCTCCTGGCGGCCATCCAAAGCCGCCGCACCGAGGAGGCGGGGAGCCCCGCGGAGGCCGGCAGCATCACCCACCCTACCACCAGCAGCACCACCAGGGGCCCCCGCCTGGCGGGCCCGTTGGCCGCAGCGAGGAGAAGATCTCCGACTCGGAGGTAAGTGTCTCCCGGAGCTACGCGTTGGTTTTCCTAAGATGGCGGCGACCCACTCCTCATTCCCCTCCCCCCCGTCGGCCTCCATTTTGTCGGAGACCGGAAAGGCGTCTGCGCGCGGGCGGCGGAGGGCGGGGCGGGCTGCGGGAGAGAGGGGCGGACTGCGTGGTCCGCTAGCCTGCTCCGGGATTGGCCCCCCGGCTGACAGGACTGAGAGAGGATGGTTGGCCTGAGGAAAGAGGCGATGAGAAGCTGTGATGGATCTTGTTAAAGCTAGCGGATTTGGGGAACCAGAGTAAAGTACAGCGTGATATGTAGGGTTGGAGAGATCGGGAGAGTCAACGGTCTGAAAAGGGCAGGTTCTTGTCGGTGACAACCAAATTTGGTCATTTTTTTTTTTTACTTAATTCATTTTAAATTTTGTCTGGTAGGATTTAAATTTTTCGGGAACGCTTAGCATACAGGTCTCACGAGATAGCTGATAGTCTATTCCGTAGTGAAGTTTGAGTGACAGTTCTCAAAGAGTATTTTGAATGATGTGAGGTGTTTGCTGTTACGACAGTGATTATGTTAGAAACCGCACCTATGTAGTTGAACCTTGCTTTGACTTTAAACGGAACAGAAGAGCAACCCGATCGTTAACATCCAGTTTGGGAAAAGGAAAAATTGTTGTTTAATAGTATTGTAATGGCTATGTGTAGTGCCAGGTGGGTGCTAGAGTAACCGAGAGGATCACTGCATAAGCTATATAAATATCCAACTAATGTACTGTATATCTGAAACTGAAATAAAATAAAAATCAAAAAGTGATTGGGTTTCCCTGTTTGCAGAGGTCACTGATGTCTGAAAATCCCCTTCCTTTTTCATTAGGGGTTTAAAGCCAACTTGTCTCTCTTGAGGAGACCCGGAGAAAAAACTTACACTCAGCGTTGTCGATTGTTTGTTGGGAATTTGCCTGCTGATATTACGGAGGACGAATTCAAAAGGCTATTTGCTAAATATGGAGAACCAGGAGAAGTTTTTATCAACAAAGGCAAAGGATTCGGATTTATTAAGCTTGTGAGTGTGATTTTGTGTATTATTAAAAGTCTTTTTTTGCTGTTAAATGTATTGGTTTTTAAACCAAGAATAAATTAGTCTTTAAATTTTTTATCATTTTTACAAGAAAGATGTGACTGCTTATATAGTGCATAATTGTCGGAACCTAAGAAACAAGGGGAGTGGCTGAGTAAGGCATTTAAGAATCTGCCTGAATGGTGGAGGGGGGTGCGGGGCAGTGGGGCAGCTGCCTGAAGTAGGTTTGAACGGAACTGGAGGAAGAATGGTAATGGTGGTTAGGCTTATGACAATTTCACAGTGGGCATTAGTCTGTGTTTGAGGTTATTAACATGAGTATTTCTGATAACTTTCAGGAATCTAGGGCATTGGCCGAAATTGCCAAAGCAGAACTCGATGATACACCCATGAGAGGTAGACAGCTTCGGGTTCGCTTTGCCACACATGCTGCTGCCCTTTCAGTTCGCAATCTTTCACCTTATGTTTCCAATGAACTGTTGGAAGAAGCCTTTAGCCAGTTTGGTCCTATTGAAAGGGCCGTTGTAATTGTGGATGACCGTGGAAGATCTACAGGGAAAGGCATTGTTGAATTTGCTTCTAAACCAGCAGCAAGAAAAGCATTTGAAAGGTGCAGTGAAGGCGTTTTCTTACTGACAACGTAAGTTTTTGTGCTTCTTTTAATAATTTCTGTTTAACTTTATGGGGAAGTTGTGATAAAACTAGGAAAAAAGTTAAGATGGAACCATTTTTGTTACTAGAACACCTCGTCCAGTCATTGTGGAACCGCTTGAACAATTAGATGATGAAGACGGTCTTCCTGAAAAACTTGCACAGAAGAATCCTATGTATCAAAAGTAAGATTGGTTAAACTATTGGGCAGTTTTTAAGCATCAGCTTGAACTTGTTCTAGTGATTTTTCAGTTTTGCCTAAAATGTGCGAAATACTTAGAAATGGATATTCATAAAAACTTCAGGGTCAGAAAGTTAGAGGTTTTGGAGTAGTTATTCAAATGCCTAGTTTTATTTTCTGACAGGTATATTTCATGTAGTCATGTCCTTCAAACAGTTGTATGATGTGTAGGTAGTCTCATTTCTTAAGGTGGGGAAATTTTTCTTGAATAAGAATTTGGTTAGAGGAAACAATTAGGAAATGAGGAAGATAGGATTTATTTCCTCTTCTGGGATGTGTGTTTTTGCTGTGAAGATACTTTATATGAACCTAAGTGGTTTTTGCCTCTTGGTATTACAAGTGATAGGCTAGGAGAAAGACCAGTGTATTTAGGGGGTTCAGGTAGTATTCCTTGTGTGCATCTAAATTGATTCATGTTTAAATATTGTCAGGGAGAGAGAAACCCCTCCTCGTTTTGCCCAGCATGGCACATTTGAGTACGAATATTCTCAGCGATGGAAGTCCTTAGATGAAATGGAGAAACAGCAAAGGGAACAAGTTGAAAAAAACATGAAAGATGCAAAAGACAAATTGGAAAGTGAAATGGAAGATGCCTATCATGAGCATCAGGCAAATCTTTTGCGTCAAGGTAAAAGACTCTGTGAATTTTGCTGATAGGATCAAGTGCTTTTTAAACTTACTAGGACCTCATTAATGTGAATCCAAAACAAAATTTTCCAATGTTCAGATCTGATGCGACGCCAGGAAGAATTAAGACGCATGGAAGAACTTCACAATCAAGAAATGCAGAAACGTAAAGAAATGCAATTAAGGTAAAATTTTGATAAACTAAGCCTTTGCTTCTTGGTTAACATTTAGAGAAAAGATGTATCTAAATTTTGCAGGTGAGTCAGATGAAATACAGAGAGGTTTGTCAATGTTGGTATAATACTTATGTTGGAATTGTGTGTAAGATTTTCATAAATGATGCTTATTTTCTTTGCTAGAATGTCTCTGGGGCTATTCTAGATTTACTCTCTAGCTCTTTATGTGTGTTCTAACTTAGACTTTGTAGAGCTGTTAAACAAACTTAGTTTTCTTCAAGTTGAATTTTAAAAGATGTGGATAAAATACTTTGGTATATGTGCTTGATGTGCATTTCCAGGCAAGAGGAGGAACGACGTAGGAGGGAAGAAGAGATGATGATCCGTCAACGTGAAATGGAAGAACAAATGAGACGCCAAAGAGAAGAAAGTTATAGTCGAATGGGCTACATGGATCCAGTAAGTAAACTTCTATTGCAATCTAATTGGAGTTGTCTACGAAACTTGTAGGTACCTAGATTGAAATTTTACTCTGTTGAATATAACATTTCACATAGCTATTTTATTGCGATATGCCTTAGAGTTTTGTCTTTTTGGGTGGGTCAGGTATTTCATTGGTTGGGAGGGAACTTTTAGGTCTTTTCGATAATTGAGTCTCAATAACTGGTTTCAGAATATTGATTTTTTAAATTGTCTTAATGAACCTTTTTTTTAAAAGGTTAAAAACAAATTAGATTTGGGAATTTTTTTGTACTCAAGAATGATATGGGTATAGTACAGGTATGTGAAATAGATTCCTTTTTTTTTTCCAGAGAGAAAGAGACATGAGAATGGGTGGTGGAGGAGCAATGAACATGGGAGGTAAGTGAGAAAATTAAATTAGCAGTACCATTAGAGAGCAATATTCTGGTTGAGTTGTAACCAGCATTTTTGTTTCCTAGATCCCTATGGTTCTGGAGGCCAGAAATTTCCACCTTTAGGTGGTGGTGGTGGCATAGGTTATGAAGCTAATCCTGGAGTTCCACCAGCAACTATGAGTGGTTCCATGATGGGAAGCGACATGGTAATGTATCTTGTGGGACGTAGTACAAAGGAAATTCTCATTTTCACAACTTACGTGTGTGTGTTTTTTTTTAAAGTAGGTGACTGGACCTCTTTTAGTTCCCCTATCATGTAAATCGTAATATCGAGGAATACTTTGGCAACATAGAAGATCTCAGTGTGTGGTAACCTAAACAGATAACGGTTGCCAATGGGAAGTCAATGCTGTCAGTAGTGTGTTGGAGATATCTTTGGCAATAAGTAGACTTAGGTGCTTTCCATTATATTGCTTGTGTACTTTTGCACTCCAGCGCATGGCAAATCCAAATTCTAAATGTTAGATAATGTACCTGATTATTCTACATCCAAGTGAGAGTAATCAAATGGCAAACTGTTGTTCGTTTAGCTGGTATTTGCCATAAGTATGTATTAGACTTGTAGTTTGCAGCTTTTAGGCATGTTTTAGTGACGTGTAGGACTTTGACCTATATTTGTGGCTTCTACCCATGAAAGGGGAATTATTTAACGTTTTGACTCGTCGTTTCCCATCCGTTGGGCCTGTCTATAGGTACATCTTCTAAAACTGACATCTCTATTTTGCTGCAGGGTACCAAAAATAAGTGATAATTTTAAGCATACTGGTTGTGTGCATTTGATTTGAAACTTAGTAATACTATCATTTTAGCTGTGCAGATAGCCTGTCAGGATGCTTTAGAACAACCAAGTGAATTGGTCTGAGTGGCTGTATTTAGGGCTTTACAAAATCCTTAGGAGAACTGAGTATTGGCTTTAGAGAAAAGTGTATTTTCACAACTGAATTGAATCTGATTAATTCACCTGTAAGCTTTTGGCAAAGGAAGGAAGCTGCAGCATGTAACTCACTGGATTTATTTTACAAATAGGAACATAAGGATTTAGTATGGGGCTTCACCTATTTAAAATCCACTTATGGCGTTTTGGGAAATAGAACTGTAAATAGCTGGTTGGGTTAAATGGAGTGCTATTATCTTTCTTCAAATTGAATTTTTAAAGTAATGTGGGTAACATTGGCTTACGTGCTTCCTAAAAGGCAGATTGTAGGTATGTAAACAAATCTGTAAAATTTAATTTGACATAATAGTCACATAGTAGTTTCTACATTCCATGTAACAGGTAGCTCTTTCAGGTTCTAAGATGTTGTAATAACATAATCATGAAACCCCAAAATTTTCTTTTTCACTTTTTGAAATACACAGTAACAGTGTGCTAAAACCCTAAAGTTTTTAGGATTTTGAAAAATAGTTTAAAGGATTGAGACTTAGTTTTTTTCAAGTAGCCTTTTACAGTATTTTGTAAGAAACACATTGAAATTATGAATAGTATTAGTTAAACCCTGATACCATTTTTCTGTTTCATGTTTTTTGGAGTAATTCTCAGTAACCGATCTGTTTTAAATGGAGTTTGAAAGATAGTTCAGACTGTTGTGCTTGCACATCTGTAGAGTTCTTCTGTTTGGGTGTATAGATTTCTAAGATTAAAGGTACCTAAAACTAGATGGAATAATGAACTCCTGCTTTATTGCAGTCACTTAAGTTTGGTGTTATGCTGTTTGAGAGAGAACGAAAACATGGAATCATAGCTAACTGCCAGTGGACTTAACAAAGACCTAAGGGAAAAGTTGGGCTCTATGGGGGTGGGCTGTATATTCAGTCAATATGTAATAATACATAATAGTACTGTGAACGTAATTGTCTCTGGTTATATAGTGATGGCTGTGAAGGTGGTATACTTGTGAGAATTTGGCAATATGAGTTCTTTCAATCAAGTTACTGTGTCGTTTTAAGTGACTAAATCTATTAGTCTTTTATGCTTTTTCTTTTTTGTAGTCTGGTAGCATTTTATTAAAACTTTGAACCTTTTAAGATTTCTGCAACTTAGCAGATGTGTCTTAAGATCTTGAAAAGCACAAGGTTTCTTATGCAGCACATGCCACTAACTGGTGAGTAGGTCTTTGTCACTTCATTGAGTGAATTGAATCTGTCTGGTTGGGCTTGTTAGGCTTACTTGGAAATTAAATTTCCCGTTCAGACCTTGAAAGTGAGAAGTTTGCAAGCTTTTCAGTGGGTTACTCTGATGTGAAATTTCTTAAAACTCATTTTGGAATGGGTTTTCACATCTACACTAATTTTTAAATTTTTTAGCACTACAGGGAAGATCTGTTCTGTGAAACAGGTGTATGAGAATGGCTCAAGTGGGAACATACCACAAGGCATGTATTATCGTAAACTAATTTTCAAATTACCCTTTTTTCCTTTCTATGTTCCCGGTACCTGTGGATCGACTCATTGGTGATTGTATCGACGAACGTTGACTACGGAACCTTCTAAAATATTTACTTAACACACATGGACATCAACTACATATAATGAACTGTTAATTACTGTTCCAATAGCGTACTGAGCGCTTTGGGCAGGGAGGTGCGGGACCTGTGGGTGGACAGGGTCCTAGAGGAATGGGGCCTGGAACTCCGGCAGGATATGGTAGAGGGAGAGAAGAGTATGAAGGCCCAAACAAAAAACCCCGATTTTAGATGTGATATCTAGGCTTTCATTCCAGTTTGTTTTTGTCTTGTTTAGATACCAATCTTTTAAATTCTTGCATTTTAGTAAGAAAGCTACCTTTTTATGGATGTTAGCAGTTTATTGACCTAATATTTGTAAATGGTCTATTTGGGCAGGTAAAATTATGTAATGCAGTGTTTGAAACAGGGGAATTTTTTTCCTTTTTATTTCACTTTTTTTTAACTGTATAATGTCCCTCAAGTTATGGCAGTGTACCTTGTGCCACTGAATTTCCAAAGTGTACCATTTTTTTTTTTTTACTGTGCTTCAAATAAATAGATAAAATAGTTATATTGATCTTCAACTTTGCCATTCATGCTTCTATGCACATTAGGCTAGGTATTCCACTTTGAAAGCATGAGAGTGTCTAGACCTTCAAATGGCATATGCCATTTCTGGGAAATGTATTTGTAGGCTAAGTATTGCTTTCTACAAATAAGTACCCCCTTGTTTTAAAAAGAAGAAATGCATATCGAAGTAGTTTCATGATTTGATTTGTTTGGCATTATAGGAAGCAAGCAGTGCTAAGTACTTTTAAATGGTTATGTAAGCAAAGCTGAACTGTAAATCTTCATTCAGGAATGTCTATTAAGATTATGGAATGGGTGTAAGACTTGGTAGGGGGAGAAAGTGGGTACAAGTAAATGGATCTTTTATGGCCCTATGATCTATCCTTTCCTTGAAAGTTTCTGAAGAAAAAGTGGAAAGATCATTTTGTTGCATTCCTCTATTCTTGTTTTTAAAAGAATAAGTCCCAAGCCCTACAAATGGCTTGTATTGAACTTTCATATTTGAATTAAAGATTGTTAAACATGAAGTCTTTTCATGTATTACTTCAAGTGATTTATAAAGACGGGGTTTAGTCTGGATAATTAAACTTGAAAATAAGTATAGTAAGCATAAAGTAGTTTTAACAATATATACATTTGTACTCTAACTTTTACATTTCCTTGTGATACTTCTGTTGGGCAAAATCTGTAGGACTATAAAAAATCTTGCTTGCTCTCTTCTCTAAGAGTTAGTGGTGACTTAACAAATAGGGTTGCAGATAACCATTCTTAATTTAAAATATTTGTTAATCTGTTTTTTCATAGTTTCTTTTGATGTAGCATAATCTGGAGAGTCGCTCAGGCTACATAGTAAAAATATGAACATCACTCACTGTAAAACTTGAGACTGTTTCGATGGTGTTGTCAATTCTTTGTCAATGTCATTGAATCTTCCATAAAAATAAGATTTTGACTTAATACTAAAAGTACATCGTTACCATTGTCTTAGTACAGTGAGAACTTGCTTTCCCAGTGTATATATTAGCAGAGGAACAGCTTTCTAAAAGTAGGGTAAAGTAATTGAATGGTTTGGCTTTGTTCTTAGTTATGGTTCCATTCAAATTTTTGTACATTATAGAACTCTTGAATGTGTCTTCCTCCTTTTCACTTCTGTTCTTGGTGCTAATTGGCAAAAGTAAAATTCTAAACGAAATCTTGGTTAAAATGCTAAAGTTTAGTTTGGTGCCTGAGTACAAAGGGAAATCCATTGTTGAAACAATTGAGCACTTTCTGCATAGGAAACTGGATAATACTAAAAACACTAGAGGGGTATACAGGCATGCCACCCAATTCTGGTCGTGTGACTGACAGGTACATGGTGCGCTAATTAAGGAGAGAATCTCAGAGAAAATGTTTATTCACCAAGACACCCGGAAATGGGTAGTTCTACCATAATTATATCAATGAGGAAGTTTTGTCCCCAGTCAAGTTATGAATTGGTGATATTTGAGATTTTTCTGGACGGAAACAAGGTTCTTGATTTGAAAGGAGTCCATTACAATTTGATATTGTATGGTAGGGACTCCGCTAATGATAAAATAAGGGGTGTTCATGGGACACCCACAGAGGGTGAACTTGTATGTATGTGGGCGGGGGCTGGTGGGGAAATGGGACAATCTGCCTATAAAATTAATGTTTCAGTTTATTTTTCAGATTACATGCCTTTCTTTATAAGGGATGCTGGCAAAGACCCCTAAAAATAAGCTTTTGGTAGTACTGTACCTTTGAAGAGTGGTGAAGGATGCTAATGGATAATCTGCTGAAAGTTGTGGTTTTGATAGCCTCACTGTGGGCTGTAGAATGGCTAAACGTTGTTTAGCAAATAATGTTGCTTAGTTTCAACTAAGTTTTTTTTTTGACTTTTATCACTGAAATAGCAGTGTACCAAGGGTTGTAAGCTACTCAAATAGACTTTCTATAAGTCTTGCAATGTAATGTATATGATAGTTTTTAGCCTAATGTGAATTTAAGTCATCTTAAAAAGTAGTTGCCTAAAAGCTGATATGAAACTTGGGGTGGGAAAGGGAAGGTAGTACTTTGGAAGAATTTAGTCATTTTTCTTAAGTAAATCACCTGCCCCCATTTTCCTCTTCTCCACTTTCTCTCAGTATTTACTGTTTTAAGAGGAACACTGATAATTTTTAAACTTAGTACTCCTAATCATTAAAATACTGCATTCTCTAAGAGAGACCCCAGTGTATTTCATTAGGTAGTTTAACACATTGGCTCACATTATTTAGTGAAATCATAATCTTCTTTGCTTAGAACACTAATTAAACTCCTTAAGAAGTACTATAAACCCCACCACTCTTTATAGATGTTATACCACTAATATAAACAGATTCTAATTTGGGAATTTGTAATGTTACGCCTGTGCAATTTTTACAAGTGGCATATTATGGCAGATAAAAATTTAGATACTTGGCTTTTCTTGGGCAAGCCACTAAGTTGTGACGGAATGTTTTCTGGTGTTCTTGGACTGCAATTATGCACTATTAAAGTAGTGGCCTGCTACATAACTGCATTTAGCCAGCATTTCTGCAGTGCGTAACTGTGAGGAACGTAGTACCGCAAATGGCAATGGACATTAGGACCCGGATGTAGTATTCCTGCTTGCTCCAAGATTCTCATTGCCGACTGCATACAGGTAGGTAACAAGCAATATAATCTAACTTGGTGACTTGCTATGTACTTTTATTCCGTGGGCATTCTGACATCACACTTCTGACAATGAAATAACAGTGCAGCACCTAACTAACACTTGTATGGTAAAGCTAGCTTATCAAAACTGCGTGGGTTTGGGTTTAGAACTGTAATTTGTCAGGCAGAATTCAGTGCTGTTGCAGTTCTCAGATAAAAAGTGCAAACTTGCTTCTTTGGTATATCTGCTTCAGTTGTGTGGTCTTCTTAAGTTGCATCGTAACTGAAGATAAGGTGGAACGCATCAGTGGTGCGGGGGAAAGGGAACCAAACCATACCTGAGAAGTAGAATGCTTTTAGCATCTTGACATGGACTGTATAGCCTGTGATAATTACTCTGTTGTAGCAGACTGAACCTGCCCAGTATCAATTTCAGAATGCAATCTTGGTAATTATTTTGCAGGTTGAGTGAATTAAAACAAAGTACAGTTTTTTTGTAATGTGATTTAAAATGTTTTTTTAAAATGGGCTCCATGGAAACACCTTTGTTACTAACGGGCTTAGATGGGAATCTAATGTGAATAGTTTAAGTTATCTGATTTGTCTAAATACGTTTGCTCTAAACCTGGGGGAAACTGATGTGGCACATTGACCTGCCTGCAGTTGAATATGTGTTGGGAATCATTTCCCAATCATAAGACTCCGTCGTATTCTGTAGGATAACTGCAAATGTTCAGAGTAGCTTTTTAAATTTGGTTCCCTTAGCTTTAGGGATGTGATACTATAATCCAGAATGTGCAATTACTTAAAAAAAAAAAAAAAAAAGTCTTCAAAAAACACCTTTTGTTGCTTAGGACTTAAGTTTTGCTTCGTCTGTTGTTCCAGACCTCAACTCAACTCTGGTCTTAACTGGTTTTTAGCTAGCATGCGTGAGAAACAGCTTTTCACGTATAATGCTTTCTGCTCTGTAACTGGAAAGTTTGGTTTATTTTGTATAAATGTGTGAAAACTTCTTGACTGAGAATTTTCTTCCGTTGTATCAAAAATGGCTTGCTCTTTGGCAAGCAATTCACAAGATGGGGGACAAATTTGTACTTTAGTATGTAGTCCATTTAAGCAAATAACTTGACTCCTGCTAGATGAAAGAGCAAATGGTGACTAGTTTAGCTCTCTATCTGAATAATACAATGCAAGGCAAACGTAATGCTAGGTATTAGTGACAAGGTTGTCACTAAATTGGCATACAACCCGGATGGGGTTTTCCTGTGGCATAATCCATTAAATCGGTGGCCAGCAGTTGACTACCGTGATTTTAGTGATTGAGTATTTAGAAATAAAAGCTCAGGTTTATTTCTTAATAACAATTTTAAGAGACTGTACTTGTTATACATATAATACGGACTTCAGGAACATCATTGGGGTGGGGGTTAATTTTGTTTCTGCTCATTTCAAGATGAATATAGGCTTTTGCACTTTCGAATGAGAAACCTGTGACTTAAGTTGATTCTTACTAGTTTTGATTTGTACGTAGCTATAATTCGTGAATCATAGTGCAGAGGATTTTTAAAAAATCAGTCAAAAAGCTGGGAATAAATGGGTTTCAGTAATAACACTACCGAGGTGCTTGCGTTGTATTTCATAATCTTTCCTTGCTACAAACCAAAATTATTCTTTTTACTGAGAATGGTGTGACGTTCAGAAGTGTGATGCCAGAATGCATTTTCGTACTGTTAGGCCCTTGGAAACAGATACAGGTGCTTTCTGAAAGATGAAAGAAATGCAATGGGTGCTCTTTACACAAGGTTGCAAAACCTACAAAGAATGCATAATCTCACTTTTTCCAAATAGAGAGATGCGTGTGACTAGTTTTGGACTTTTAAACTTAATGGGGGTTGCATGTCTCCTATTGTTAATCATTGTCAGCTGCAGTGACATGATCTACAGTCCTGCATTTACTGCCTTTCCCTTAATGATTTTGGACAGGTTTTAGAGAGCCAGGATGTTTGTTCTGGGCCTTTTTTGGTTTTGGCTTTAGCTGATAATGTTTCAGTGCTCT